TTGGGGATTTGGTTTCCCCCAACACGTGGAGGGCTAATCAATCTCTCGTGAAATACACACCGGGAAACCTATGTGAGGCGGGCGGGACAGAGCTCTTTCGGTCCCGATCACGATCAGACTGCATACCAGGCTACTCCCACCATGGTTGGTGGTAGCGACTGTGGGAGCGGACGTATTACTAACCAGGATGGTACACGAGCTATGGCCTCACGGTACTTGATACATTTAAGACAGTCACGCTGAAGTCAATAGAGTAAGAACTACACTGTAACTCACAAATGCGTGAGCCATGTAATGATTTGTTGAATTCTACAGAGTATGAATGTACCAGTGCCTTTTCATTCTTGATAAGGCCACACCGACTTAATTTTATGGATGACATCCTCTGAAGACCCCCAAACTAGTGCGCGCGGGCGAATAAAAAAATCCGGCCAAAAATTCAAATGCTACTAAACCACAGGAATACAAAGCTGGTATAGTGAATTTACGGCAGTACATATTGACGTATACTACAAGCCGGCAAATGCTGGCCTTTTGCGGAATTTATGAATCAGCACTGTAGTTCTTGAGTCGTGGAGCTTCGGTAGCCTGGGTGCCCGGCTCCGTATTGTCGCTAACTACCATGGACTACCCAGGCCTAGACAGAGCCTCAGTGGACTTGATCTTTTTTTTTTTTGGAGAACAGGCGAAAATCAATGCGCGCGATGATGTCATCCATAAAATTAAGTCGGTGTAGCCTAACACCGTGTGCCAAAACGGTTTTATAGCAAACTAGAAAAGCCGGAGATTTTAACTAGTCAAACGACGCTATAGCTATGGCATTATTTCTTTCGAGTGTGGAACATGGATTTTGAATGGCAAATACCTAAGAAGTATCTTGTTGCTGTCAATTTGAATGCTACGCACACTGCACTATATTACATGTATATCCATTACATTAAGCAGATAATTTAGGCATAGATAAAGAACATTTCCGTGGCCAAAGCATATTTTGATATGATGATGATAACGTTAAGTATTTTTATAGTGTTGTACCTATCTCATACACTTAAACAGTGTTTAAACATCCTCTCCTATCCTTGCAATAGTTAGATACTAAACTACTGAACTACCTTTTTAAACATTATATCTGCAAGTGACTAATGACTTCAAGAGTAAAGTACTGTTTTATTAGCTTGTTTGTGTGTCAGTCTGTCTGTATTCCCGCAGTGCAATATCTGTATGTTCCGCTAGAGGGTGGTCACAAGTCAGGTCAAACTTAATTACACAACAATTGTAACAGGTACAATGTATGGCAAGCTCTTCAGAGTTACTACATATCTTACTCTTATGTCTACATTAATGCTTATAGGTTCTATGTATCGAAAATAACACTATACCATTTCGTAAATGTGATATATGTGATATATATGGAACATGGCTTACATGATAGTACACAGGTTGTTCTACATAACTACAGACTAGAAACTGGGCTATATAGAGGGTGTGACGTCTGATATCAATACAGATTCTTTATTGACACAACAAAAGTACAGAGACTTTTGTATGGTCTTCTACAACTTAACTAAAGATCTAACAAAGCTAAATACATGTGTGGATAACGTCATCTTACGTACAGAGTATATGTATGATGTAAGGATAAAGGTTTAACTATTCTCTAACATGTGTTCTCTAAGATCGAAACATTCTTTAATGTATTTTCCTATTATATATCTTACTACGTCGCACATTCCTTACACACAATGCCCCGCGTAAAGCGTTTACAATTACACAAATAAACTTGAGATCGAAACCTCGTTAGTTGCCGTGTTATGCACGTTATGTCTTCTTTCTTATTCAAATTACCTGTACCGGCTGGCAGCAGAATAGGAATGGTAATAAGTACAGGGCAGACGCCATTTCAGACCTGACACAAGTCTGGAGAGGAACACGCACTTCACCACGAGGTATGGGCTTTCCAATCTTATGTTCTTAAAAGATCTTCGTGCTAGTACAATGCAATGTTATATATATAAACCATAAATCATAGAAGTACAGATAGGAGTTGGTTAGTCTGCATATTTCTAATGTTTAAGCTGTGGCATATTCCACAAAATGTCTCCATATAACATTTGGGCCTTCATGGCGGTATAGAGGAAGCGGTTTATTTCTCTTCACATATGCTGCAACTATACTATAACATTGGGAAGGCTCTCTATAACTTCGTTTTGCGCCTAGGGTGTACGTGTCGTGTTGCACGTGAGAATTTTTTTTTTTTTGCTACAGCTCACCCACGGTGACAAATTCTTCTCTATACTTCGGGCCACATTTCTCAGGGCCTGCAAGGGGGGTCCCGACAACGCTCTACGCTGAATTGGAAACCTCTCGATTACCCTTTGCGATAAATTCCAACTAGCTACAACGCATTACGTAGAATTAAAACGGTGAATACGCTCTACGCAAAATGCGCCAATTACGCTCTATGTTGAATTAGAGCGGTCCGTCTACGCTCTACGTATAATTACATGTAATACGGCCGATTACGCTCTACGGAAAAGGGCATGCGGGCCCCCATTTCTGTTTTCGTTGCTGTGTCACAGATACTTACCCTTTTAGTCGCATGTTTTTTTCATGTTGTTTAAAATTGACAGTACGTTTGTTGGTCAACTTTCTTTCTCAGGGTAACTCAGACGACAGACAAGCATGGCTATCCTGTTCTGCCTGTTTGGGATAATTGTTTTAGGATCTGGAGTGAACGGCCAAGGTAAGTCAACACTTGCACAAAAAGTCACATAGGCCCTGTTCATATGAAGTCAGTGAAGGCGCTTTACATATGGTTTCCCCCGAAGCCGGTTTCAAGTGGCCCCATCTAAACGCTCCAAATCACATTAAAAGTGCCTCGATCCCAAACCACTTCGAGAGGTGGTTTTGAATCGGTTTTTCCCACATCGCGATTTGCCTCTGAACGCAATGTGATTTCAATGTGAATTAAGCTGGTCATGGATTACGGGGTGATATTTCTTTATTTATATTGTATGGCACGTGGACCAGATGTGAGGAAGGCGAGTTACCCGAATCGCGGTTCGGGTGGTTTCATATGAACAAGGCCATGGTTAGCATAAAGGGTGACCATAGCGGTAGACGTTAAAGGCCTGATATAGAACCATTCCCGTGTCAAAATTTATAATAATACGTACATAAAAAAACGTTACGTTGTTAAGGTGTATACGTCACGTTTTTAGCGTCCATACTTCACGTATAGAAAAATGTACGGATACGTTACGTACATATGGTTCTGCATGACATTTCTGTGTCAAAGTTGTGTATTTTTAAAACAAAACGCAGGTTTTGTGGCACGAAAACGATGACATGATATAGACATCATTTTTGTGGCACAATAACATACCTAAAAGCGATTATATATTGATGGGGTACTGATTGAATATTGATTGAGTATTGAGTATTGATTGGGTATTGCTTGAATATTGCTTGAGTATTAATTGAATATTGATTGAATATCGACTGGACATAAGGCCACACCAATTTAATTTGTTGGTTCTCGGGTTCGCCTCTTCATTTCTTTCTGATTTGCAAAAAAAAAATTCTGGTTCTGAATGCTCATATTTTGCCTCCAACAGTTGATGAAAGTCCATTTCTTCCTAGTTGTTACAGTTCTTCCATCTCTCAATGAAGTGGTTTGATTAAAAGTTCAAAATTCATTGTTTAAATATCAGCCCAGCCTTTTGTGCTGACTTCATGGCTCCTGTCGTAGCATTTGGAGCTATAATAGGATGCCTAGACCTGTTTTTATTATTTTTTCGCCCTGTCGCTTCATATTTTTTTTGGAGAACCAACAAATTAAATTGGTGTGGCCTAAACACCACTTGCAGAAGGTCTGTCCAATCTCGTGGTATTGGACTCGGACGTTGCCTACATCACGATCGGCTGGACTGTGTCTCCCGGATTCAACGTGTCCAGCTACCGCGTGCGCTATGCCGGGCAGAACCGGGGCGGCTCCTACCGGGACCTGTCTCCCGCCCCGGGCCCAGACGACACCACCGCCAACATCACCGGACTCCACGCCAACGAGAACTACACCATCACCGTGACGTCATACGGACCTGACGGCAACAAGACGTCTGAAGTCAGCACAGTAGAGTTAACATGTTAGTCACATTTACATTTTCCCGCCATCTGAAATCAGCACAGTAGAGTTAACATGTTAGTCACATTTACATTTTCCCGCCATCTGAAGTCAGCACAGTAGAGTTAACATGTTAGTCACATTTACATTTTCCCGCCATCTGAAGTCAGCACAGTAGAGTTAACATGTTAGTCACATTTACATTTTCCCGCCATCTGAAATCAGCACAGTAGAGGTCACATGTTAGTCACATTTACATTTTCCCGCCATCTGAAGTCAGCACAGTAGAGGTCACAGGTTGTTATGTTTACCGAAGGAAAACATGTTGTTTTTACTCAGTTTCTTCCTCCTCTTCTGTTCCAAACACTAACCTCTGACCTGGCCAATGACATGATTTGTTGACGTCCATCACCATGGTGACGGGTGTTGGGTTACATAATGTTGCAATTTCATGGTCTGCTCTACTCCTGTCACCATATAATAGTAGTACATGTATGTGAATATGTGTTTGAGTACAAATTAACAGGGCAGACCATGTCCGAAGGTAAACATTATGCATTTGCTTTGCAAATGTTACTTCTCTAGTTCTCATTTACATTTTCCCGCCATCTGAAATCAGCACAGTAAAGGTCACAGGTTGTTCTCGTGTACATTCCCCGCCATCAGTAGACTATAGATAGCGACCATTGATCAGTACAACGTTAACGAAATACCACGACTAACGTTTCTATATCTTAGTCTTGTGACAAGCAAGTTACAAAGTAGTGGCTGTCATTTTGGTAGTACAAATAGATGTGCCCCCCTCCCCACCCGTTTGAATTGTATAACCGTTATTTTGTTCTATCATAGATTACTATATAATGTCAGTGATATGCGACCAGACCCACATGGAGATCAGCTTCCCGTTGGACGGTCTGCCAGGCATCAACGCGGCAGGGCTACATCTGCTTAACTCCAGTTGCCTAGCAACGGTCGATGACGAATATGCCACCTTGAGGACAGGGCTTCAGGATTGCGGGACGATTCAAGAGGTACACATTCAAGTAAAATGTTAAACTTTATTCCAACACAAGGATTATACAGAGATCAAATGTTCAACGACCACAGTCGCCTTCCTCAGGATAATGAATGACCAATCACTTCAAAACGTAATCTCGCGAGATTTACGGTTAGAGACACGTGACCATATTCACACGAGACTTTACGGATACGTGACGTAAGCAATTGATGAAAAGTGCCAGGGAGTAGTGCCAGGTACACATCTTGTGAACAAACTGATTTACGACAATAATGCGACACTTTGATGTAAGAAATCTGTGTGCAAGAAACATTGTAATTGTGTGGTGAATCTAAGAACCACGTGAAAGATCTTAGAACATTATTTCTTGAGCTTGATATCAGTGTTTGTATCTTTTTTTTTGTCCCAGAATTACGGAGATAACAAGTTCAGGTTCAGGAACAAGGTTATGGGGGCATCTAAGTTGGACGCGAACGGAGCACAGCGATACCAGCCGTTCAGTAATTCGTTTCACTGCGACTTTGTCCGACTCTACACCAAATCACTGGAACAGAAAGTACTGTACATAATTCCCGACTCCAGGTTAGTCAATAGTTTTGTATTTGTTTGTTTTGTTTTGTTTGGGTTTTCTTTTTAATGCCCACGAAAATGATAATGATCATTCTGGAATGCTCATTTTCACATGAGTGAAGTGAGGAAAGTCGTGTAAAGTGCCTTCCAAGGGCACAAGATCGGTGATAGGGCACAAGATCGGTGACAGGGTTCGAATTCGAACCCGGGACCTCTTGGTTCCGAGACGAACACGCTACCGCTACGCCACACGACCCCACTTTGTTTGTTTGTTTGATTTTAGGTTGTGTTGATTATATACGAGCATATTTTTGCCCCGTGGCTGGGCAAATGGGCCTGGCAGATATGTCATAGTATTATTCTATGTTGATGTAATTTTCAAAATGACGCTATGTAGTGTTTTGAGTACAGTTTACGCCACAGGGAAATGTTTACTCAAGCAACTTAAACCTTACTCATCTGGATAGGTATTGAAATCTTTTAGGCGTTTCAAGTAGCGTCCACTACTTGTCGTCAGTGACTTACGAAAATAACAAGCGTGTCGTTTACTTAGCTTTTCACCATTTTAGTTTTATATGATGTAACGATGTTGTATATGATGTAATAGTATATTATTATTGTCAGTTGACAGACAGTTGTGGCGAACTAACTTTGTATGCTCCACCTCTACGGAGGATGAATGATGATGATGATGATGTCAGTAATACTTAGGTGATTTGTAACTGAATTTGTAGTTGTAATTTTCACATAAGATGTGCACTAGTCTAGTGCAAAAAGTGATGTTTATGTACAAGTTATGTATATGCCGCGCTATTCGTGTATATTTTTGTCATTGTAAAAGCTGCTTAATTCAGTCTTAAGGCTGCAAAAAAGCTTCCAATTTACTGTACTATGTATGAAGTATGTTTTTTTGCAAATAAACCAGTCATATAAGACGATGTTCAACAATCAGTTTGTGGTGTTTTCTACAGTTTGGAGTTTGAGATAGAACACGGCAACAACACCTTTACCTTCGACATGCACCTGTACACGTCAGCGGACTTCATCCACAAGTACGAGGCTGAGGACTATCCAGTAAAGGTCAGTCATGTCAGTAATTTTTGGCGACGTCTCAGGGAGGAGCCTAATGGTACAGTATTGTGTGCAATTCGCAAGAATTCTAGGAATTGTACGGGCATTTTGTCCATAGGAATTGAATGTCCACAGGCATTTCTCTGACCCACATCAATGCCCACATTCCTGGAAACCCTTGGGAAGACCCAGAAGACCTATCTGCCACGGATGGCCCTACTTTCTGTGACCCCGGGGCTCGTTCACTATACACTCGGGGGAGGAGTTCACAGTGTCTGTCTTCTTCAAAATCATGAAACGATAGCAGTGCCATGCAAACAATAACTCCAACATCAACCACCGTCGCCATGGCAATGTATGTTTTCATTGCCAGTCTTGTTAAACATGTGGTCCTGTTGTTTCAGTTCTTCCCTACCGATAACATGCACGTGGGGTTAGCAGTGCAGACCACCCTGACAAACCTGGAGCTATTCGTTCAGGACTGCTTCGCCACTCCTACGTCAGACAAGAACGACGCGACTAGACTTGACGTCATCGACAACGGGTTAGTCTAGCACGTCCAGGGGTGCCAGAGTATACAGTGCAATTTTACGTAATACAGTGCAATCGTATTAGTATACAGTGCAATTTTACGGAATACAGTGCAATCGTATTAGTATACAGTGCAATTTTACGGAATACAGTGCAATCGTATTAGTATACAGTGCAATTTTACGGAATACAGTGCAATCGTATTAGTATATAGTGCAATTTTACGGAATGCAGTGCAATCGTATTAGTATACAGTACAATTTTACGGAATATGTATTGTAGTGCAATCGTATTAGTATACAGTGCAATTTTACGGAATACAGTGCAATCGTATTAGTATACAGTGCAATTTTACGGAATACAGTGCAATCGTATTAGTATACAGTACAATTTTACGGAATATGTATTGTAGTGCAATCGTATTAGTATACAGTGCAATTTTACGGAATACAGTGCAATCGTATTAGTAGAACGTACTGCACCTGCACGAAACCTGTAATGTATTAAGCATAGCACTTCATTCTCATATAAAGTCGTATTCGTGCATAAAAGGTTAACATCCCCTCTGTAGTTTTCAAATGTAATGTCGAAAAAAATATCGTTTGCAACGTTGACCAAACATCCAACAAAAACCGTGAAAAATAACAACGCGCTTATACAACGCCGGCATTGGTGAATGGTCACGTGTTCGAACGTTCTAAATGACTAGTCATTTGAACCAGACGAGCTCGAGGGTTGTACATGTAGTAGAACAGACAACCCAAAAATTGGATTTTTATTTTGTCGGAACAAAGCCTAGTGGCTTAAGGAGAAAGAATTCGACGTATTTGCTGATGCTTGTATTATGTTGTATACTTGTATAGAACACTAATAAGGAACAGCACGAAACTGACACAGTCTAAGTGCCGGAAACAGCGTATGCTAAACAGTACACTACCTTATTGTGTCCGCCTGCTGAATGACAGTTAATGTTATAGCAGTATTGTAAGTCGTGATGATAGTGATTTTATAGGATTGTTTTAATTCTTATTTGTAACATAAAATGATAATAAGTCTAAGATTTAAATTACGTATTTGTGTAAGGAAGCCGCAATTCAGCACTGGTGCTGCAAAGATTTTTTATGTTGAATAAACCATTCTCTCTCTCATGTTGTCTCATTGCAGGTGCGACACAGACCCCACACTAGTGACACAGAGTGATGGGTCTGACCCGCTGGTTCACCAGTTCTCCGTCCAGGCCTTCACTTTTCCAAACTCAACGGACAACGTGGTAAACATTTGCATTAATATGCTCTTCCTGCAATTAACCTAGTCTTGACTAAAACTCAGGCAGTATAAGAATAGATAGTAATAGGTAGAATGAGGTAGTAATAGAATAAGGAGGGCTGGCGGAAAAGAGTCACGAGCATCCGTGAAACTCTCACGACAAGATGATGATGAAGGTAGTAATGAAACCATGATTTAATACAGTTTGGATACAGAATTGTGGACAGCCCATTGTTTACTAACATTGAAAAGTTTAATGCAAATTCGTGCCCGGAGGCTAATTACAAAATTGTATACTCTATGAAATAGAGTATAAAATAACTAAAGTCTACATGATAAAGGTTGTCTAGAACTATAACTATGTCTAAAACTATGTCTATGAAGGGTTTGACTTCTCTTCTGTAAACCATGGAAGACGTAATGTTCAACCTTTTCCAAAATTTGTGGGTTTTAGGAACTTAAAAGAAGAATAGTTTTTTCTTGGTCTGTAATTATAAGTTTAGAGAAATTGGGATAAATTGTAGAAGTTTGAATAGTCAATTCATTTTGAGCGTTGTGCATGACCAGCAAAGGAACCAGTGCTGCTTGTAGGAATTCTGATTCATGTCAGAATCTGAGTCTTTTTTTTTTTGTTTCCAGCTGTACCTCCACTGTACCCTGGTAGTGTGCATGGCTAGCGACAATTCGTCCCGCTGTGAGCAGGGGTGTGTACCGGGCCGCAGGCGTAGGGACGTGTGGGACCACCGTGACAAGGCGGCGCTAGTCCAGACGAAAGCGGGCGAGTTTCAGGACAAGGTGGTGTCCATCAGCCAGGGACCGATCCTACTGCTGAAGGCGAGCCCGTCCCAACGTAAGAAAACACATGATACTTCACAGAAGACGCATTACATAGCGTGCGTAGTCCAGTGGTTAGCGATCCTGCCTCAGGACTAAAAGGTTGGGAGTTTTGGCGACGTCTCAGGGAGGAGCCTAATGGTATAGTATCGTGTGCAGTTTGCAAGAATTCTAGGAATTGTACAGGAATTTTGTCCACATGTACAGGCATGGAATGTCCACATGAATGTCTCCCACATCTATGCCCACATTCATGGAAACCCTTGGGAAAACCTGTCTGCCCCGGATGCCCTACTTTCTGTGACCCCGGGGCTCGTTCACTATACACTCAGGGGAAAAGTGTACTTTATCTGTCTAGACTAACAGGTACCAAGCTTCCTCAAAATCATGAAATCATATCAGTGCCATACAAACAATAACCCTAACAGCAACCACCGTCGCCATGGCAATGTATGTTTTCGTTGCCAGTCTTGTTAAACATTTTTTTTTTGTCAACTTCCCCAGAAGCGGAGACAGACACCCCTCCCATACCGCCGACCGTGCCTGTAATAGTGGGGGCAGCAGCAGTGATCCTGACAGCTCTGACTATCCTGGTGTTGTGGTACAAACGGGACAGGACTGGGACTTTACACACAGACGTTGGCGTTACCGGTACGTTTAGTGTATCACATCTAGTGGGCTAGCTTTGAGTTTAAACGAATGACGTCGACGTTTAATCTATTGCGCATTTTTGCCACACTGGGTTAAGTACAGGTCACAACAAAACAAGATGAACAGATAAAATTAACAGATACAAAAAAGAAACTAACCTGTCGTTGTATAAATTCAACTAAGTATGGTATTCCGATATTGAAATTGTAGATAAATTTTATAAATGTACGAATCAATACAACCATAATTTTGATAAGACCACAATGAACTGCAACCTTGTCATTAACGGACAGAGAAATGTAGTTACTGGTTGAAATATGTAGCGGAGTATCAAGTTAGATATAAAACAACGGGCAAATACTAGTGCCTATCGTGTACAAAATGGCGGCTACAAGTCATGTGCCATGCCTCTGCGTCGTTACCCAGGTAACCAAGGCCACGCCCACCAGATGGAGAGGAGTTGGGCATGTCAAGTACGTCAGACAGCTACCGTATAGATCTGACGTCATCACATCGTCTGGACAGCAGCAACATGGCGGGCGTCTGCACTTGTTTTCTGAATGTCGGCCTTTCCAAGTACATTGTAGTACTGCATATGGATCCAGAGTTGTAAGAATGTTTAGGTTCAAGTCCAAAAAACTTAAATTCAAGAACCGAGTCCGGACTTACTACCATAAAAGACATTTTCTTTCCAAACAACCTAAAACCCTCCGTAGATTGCAAAAACTTTGCTACAAAATTAAGAAAGCATTGCCATCGGGCTTCGTCAAGTGTCAGCCTCCATGTTATGTGACCAAAGTTTCACCCAGACAACATTGCAAGGTTGCCAACATGCAATTTTGTATGTGCCATGGTTTTAGGTCCGGACTTGCAAGTCCGGAACTGAACCTAAACCTCTGGACTTGAATCCGGACCTGAACCTAAATGTGAGTTCAGGTATGCAGCACTAGTACATTGTGTAGATGTCTTGTTGACCGCAAAATGTGAATTGGATTATCATAATCTACGAGATGATGTCTTGAGATAACTTAGAAAAAAAAAGAAAAAAAAAATAGAAATATGATTACCTGTAATTTCAAAATATATTTAAAAATCAGATTTGTATTCGACGAATTCCTTATATAGTACTATTTGTCAAATTGTATCAGAGAATTTATAGAGACTATTACAGAGTTCCTATGATAAATAAATATACATTTAACATTTTACACAGATATGTATACAGATATAGATGATAAATATAGATAAAGATAAAAATATAACTACTATATCAACTTGTTCTGTATAGCGAATTAGAGCACATCGGCATCGAAGATTTGACACCTTAGTCTCCAAGCAGCAAAATTTCAGCAAGAGATCTGCTTGGAGATTATCGACATAAAGATATGATCCCGCTCATGTTGAAAATTTAATTGCCTTATGCCGATGTTTTCTTGTGGACATTGAATGACCATGTTGTGTGTTGTCGTAGCAAGGGTACATGTTTTACAATCCATGCTGTTTATCACGCCACCAAAGATCAATAAACCATGTGCGTTGAATGCATGCAAAACCTCGTACTTTTGGTGTTCTTTTGGATTTTGTAGGGGCAAATTTCATATCATTAATACCAGCATATTAATAATGACATATTTATTTGCAAAATCATGCCCGAAGGCTAATTGCTTTACAGAGTCAAAGATACTATACGGTACAATAGGGAACAGACATCTACTGTCTGGAAAATACTTGTACTTCTACTACAACGCTTGCTATTATGAGGTTTGACTTCTTGGAAGGCAGTGGATAATGAATAGTCCCACGTTCTGCATAATGAGTGGGCTTTGTGATCTTAGTAGTCTTTTGGTGAATTTCGAACTTTAGATGATGAAAGGATGAAAAATTTCAACATATTCAGCGTATTCTATATCTAAAATGATTACAACATTTAACCTTATATAACAATGAAGTTTTTTGCAAATCCATGCCCGAAGGCTAATTGCAAGTTACAAACATAAAAGAACTCTGAAACAGAGTATAAGATAACTTCAAAATGTACATAATGAGATCTAATTGTCTAAAACTATTGCTATGTCTAAGGCCGTGTTTATGTCTTCACCCAAACCGCGATTCGGGTAACTCACATTCCTCACATTTGGTCCACGTGCCATACATTCCTTTCAAAACGTGCCCGATAACGATTCTCACGAAACTACATTCATTGTTGTTTGATGAAAGCACGCTAGGTAGCGTGTCATTATTGTCAGAGGTCAACGACCTGCTTGCTGGTGCCCCCTCCCAGTGTATCTCGGCCGAATGCCGACGTGGTCCCGTGAAGCTCGCCCTAGAACGGATACATTATTTGACCATTACTGCTCTTTAAGTTGCTGACACGTAAAATTTGGTATTGCACATAAATAAAGAAATATCACCCCGTAATCCATGACCAAGTGAAGTTACATTGAAATCACATTGCGTTCAGACGCAAATCGCGATGCGGGAAAACCGATTCGAAACCACCTCTAGAAGTGGCTTGGGATCGAGGCGCTTTCAATGTGATTTGGAGCGTTCAGATGGAGCCACTTGAAACCGGCTTCGGGGTAAACCACATGTGAAGCGCCTTGGGTGACTTCACATAAACACGGCCTAAAACTATGTCTGAAATAAGAACTGACTAATGCCGTAATGGAAATCCCTCACTGTGGCTAAAGGACCTCAAGAACGTCGTTGAAAGATTATTAAAAGAAATATGGACTATAATATTGATACTTTATTTTGGGTAAACAAACATGCGTCAACACTTCTGCAAAAGTTCAACAGTTCGTACGTCATGTTATGAAATTAAATGTTGAATGGCAAACTGCTAGATCAGAGAAATATCAAAATTGTAGCGCACATGAATTCCTAAAGGGATCAGGGAGAAATTTGGATGGAAAGCGCAATGTTCCCTTAGACGTTAACCTTTATGAACGGAATGGCTGATTACGATAGCTACTACAGACTGATTTTGCGTTCCACTCCTCTAATCTAATTACGTTTTTATAGGTGCACACGACAAACATGTCTGCGGGGTGAAAGGTCATCATGTTGTGACGGAGTACGCATGCGTTGGTACGTGCACCAGCTGACACCTGCACATCGTATCAAGGTAAGAAAAAGTTACTGTAGCAATTTTTACTGTATTTTTTTTCTAGAAAACCTGAGTATCAAATTATGAAGTGCCCTTGACTGTCTTTGATATCCATATGAAATGTCGATAATATTGGGGCATTCTAGTAAGTTGATCTAAGTTCTGAAGACGACTGTGGATTTTCGTTGGAAAACGCATCTGTCCCAATCGTACACAACATAATACTACTACTGTAAATGTTCACTTGACACAATTCTAAACCTTTGAACAGGGTAAGTCTGATAAAGAATTTGTAAATCTGCTGGATCACTTTTTCGATGTTGGATCCTACCTGTCAATTCATAGTGTTAAGAATTCGTTTTACAAAATACCACGGTGTACATTTCTTGTGCCATTAATTGCAAGGTTGGGTTTTGTGTAAACTGTTTCCAGACACAAACAACTGGCATTTGCGAGATGGTGCACATTTTGCATATATTTGGAGCATTCCTTCTAACAGCTGGAGTCAACAATGGCGGTGAGTGAAGCTATTAATTGTGTTAAGAAGAAAATTAGTCCACAACAAGTAAATTTTATGGATGGCATCCTCCACACACTCCAAATCTAATGCGAGCGGCCCAAAAAAAAGAAGGTTCGTACCTTTTAAAATTTTGACTCAATCATTGTACAAATGGTTTTGATTCAGTGGGAACATCACATATACACAACCAACATCACATATCACTGCATCAAAGTAAGAAACAAAACATTAAATCAAAGCCTTTTCTTGTCTCCTCTCTTCATAGTTATCTGCCATCCACCTTCCGGCATGGCAACAGAAATTTTTGCCCATTTTCGACATGTTGACTACTGTCAGAGGGCAACAGAATTTATTTATTTTTTCCAAAATCAGGCGAAAATTAATGCGCGCGCTGATGTCATCCATAAAAAAATACTTGCTGTTGCCTTATACAAAACGGCAATAGTTCTCTATTGGTCTAATTAAAACCCTGAGATTATATTTGTAGTTACATATACAATGGGACATTACTACAATCATAACCCATGAACTTCATTTTGCCGTTTGATTGCATTTTAGTGTATCATACATAGTGTAACATAAATCGAAATTACGGCAAATGGACCTGATCCCAGATATGATCGCCATGTTGGTTGTATTCCCGCGAGAGTACCTTCTTGACGTGAACGCGCGAGAGCTCGCATGCATCAAAACGAGGCCTCCAGTGCACTCGGATCCCCCCCCCCAAAAAAAAAACCTCTAAACATGGCCTCTCCCACAGACGAACCGAGCGATGTATAATACATTGATATCACCTTGCAACTTGTGCTTGCCTAATATCTTTATTCTTGTAAAATAAGGACTAATCTTTAACTTCCAACATTCGGTTGACTCCATCAACTTTGTTCACGGAATGGACCCGTCTACTCTTTGAACGTGACGTCAGAGACACGTGACCGTATACGTAGTAGCGGGTAATACGTGCCAGATAACTTGTGTCGCCCCCCCGTCTCTGTTCAGGGTGGGTCTGTGAGCCTGTGAAAATTTGGGGTAAGTCCCATTTCTGTAATCTAAGTGTTGGAAATTAAAGCTTAGTCTCTATTTCATAATGACTTGTACCAACACAGATGAACTTTCATGCTATCTTTATTCTTGGTATACGTATTCCTTTGTAGCCAATGAACACGCCTTTGAGGTCCTGCAGACCGGTAACGTCGAGTACGCAGGGGAGAGTTTCTTTGCCATTGAAGCAACACTTAGCTCGCTACAGTCGGCCAGCGAAAACTGGTGCAGGGACTACCAACATCTCTGCGCTTCTTACGGGCTCAGACCCACTGGATGTGGCGAGAAAAGTATCGAGAATGGTGGGGATTATGACGTGTAAGTCTCCCATTGGTGTACCTTTGTTAGCATTCGGAAAATCCCTTTCTGACATTTGGAGAAATCAAGCAAACTTTAAAGTCCTATACTGCACCTGTTCTTCGGATTTCAAGAAAAAAAATCAACATTGTGTAATTCTTCCGGAAAAGGATCAAGCTTACGATTAGCATGAAATGTGCTTGTTGCTTCTTTTACAACGTACCCCTTACGACGGTACTGTTCTTTATCTACCAGAATGATAAGACAGTATATGATGGTATACTGTAGACTATATAAAAATAATTGCTGCCAAATCGAATGATGCATTATGTCATAAACAATTCGTGTTTACCCGGCTTCCCTGTACAGGTGTAGAACAGAGTATAACTCGGACCCGTACATAAACAATGTCTTCAGCTGTCCTCCCAACGTCAGGATGGCTGAGGCCGCCAGCACGGCGTTCTCGGTTATCGCCTCAAGTGAGCGGACCTTCGGCTTTTACCGGTGCAGGAGTGACACCTGTGAGAAAGACATCTCCTTGAGTCAAGAGAGCCTTCGCAAAATCTCTGGCGCCTTGAACGACAGGCATGTTTTCACGCTGTGCAGTGGTACCTACAGTGGTGGTGAGACACAGTTCACAGAGATGTTGCTTTACGATGAACGTACCAAGTAATAAAGATATGCTAAAATAGACGAAATGGCTATGTAGCATATGCAATCTTAGCGAGTAGTCAAGAGAGCCAGTGCTGTGGACAGCACAATTAACCAAGCATCAGTGTAGACGTAGAACCAACGAGCTGTGCTGTTATGCAATGTAGACAAGAATGTAGTGTGTAGCACGGTGGTGATTAACTGATATTTTGCCCCGTACAGCTACAACAATCCCCACCACAACAGCCAGTACACCTTGGACAGTCGCTGTAGCTGAACGCCGTGCCACCACAAGTACCAACACAACGGTGCAACACAACAATAACATCAGTACAGTCACACCAAACCCTACTGACATCAACACAACGGTGCAACACAGCAGTAACATCAGCACAGTTACACCAAACCCTACTGACATCAACACAACGGTGAAACAGAACAGTGACGTCAGCACAGTTACAACAACCTCGGCTGGCATCAGCACAACGGTACAACACAACAGTAGCGTCAGCACGGTTACAACAACCTGGTCTACAGCTACAACTCCTTTGGGAAGTTCCAACACATCTTCCGTAACCACTGGGACCTTCGACGTAACGACGACCAAAGCCATAGCAAGTACAATCACAATAGGTGAGCTCAACAAACCTCCAGCAAATGTTACAGAATGCAAGTAATTACCTCCATGAAAAATGGAGGTATTGTTTTTGGTCTCTCTCTTTTTTTCTCTCTCTCTCTCTGTATCACTGTGTGTGTGTGTGTGTGTGTGTCCACACGCAAAATATTGTTCTGATGAAAAGTGTATAAAATTTGAGTTTAGAAAACCATTAATTATGATAAATTATGGTATGTACAACATTATTTCCATAGTCAATGAGACAAATTTTTCTTAAATGACAAAAACTCATATTTCATGGAGGTATGTGATCTCCGAATTCTTGTATTAAGAGATGTTCTGTTCGATATCTTTGAATACCACAGGGATTTGTTATAACACATTGGACTTACGTGTGAGTGGGTTGAAATCGTTGGGTGTTTTTAAATGAATGATAAACATACCTTAGTAAACACTGTCTCTATACGCATCTCACAGTAATATCTTTTAATACCAGAGGGCCTGTATAATTTGGTGATGGAGGAAGTTGGTCTGGACTTCCTGACGTTTACTTGGAACGTGACGGCGAACTTCACGGTGCACAGTTACCGGGTGCGCTACAGCGTGCTGGGCGGTTCGTACAAGGACCTGGCCCCGCCCCCGGCCGCACACGAGACCCGGGCCTCCTTACGGGGACTCATGCCTGCCACGCCTTACCAGATCAGAGTGACGTCATATGGTGAAGACGGAGGTCTTACTTCTGAAGTCAGCACAATTCAGGCTACAGGTAGATATGTGTAGTCTATCTCAACATTTTCTGCATAAAGGAAGAGATTTGATCACAACACACAAAGTAAGATATGTGTAAATGTTACGATTACATGTATGTGACTATATCATGCTTCTGAACGAATGGATGCAAGTGTGATCCGCTCCAGAGGCGTTTCCAAAAAAAGGAAACAATATCAGAGATGCAATAGAAAATGGGCCTTATCTTCATCTCGTCGTTCCGAAAACGCCCCCTTCCTCATATCATAGTCATCACCACTTGTACGTACCTCATTTTTGGCGACGCCTCCGGGGCAGAGGTATTTTTCACTTGCGGAAATATTTAACTTTAACCACCTGACCCCCACAGACAACATCGTGGTGCACGTATCATGTGACCAGTCACACATGGAGGTGTCCTTCCCCCTTGCCGCCCTTCCCGGGGTGGATGTGGCGGGAATGCATCTCATTAACGCCAGTTGCCTGGCAACCCGCAACGACACGCACGCCACCTTGCGGACAGGTCTGCAGGACTGCGGAACGATTCAAGAGGTGAACTAGTTTGTGATATTCGTCATTTCAAAGCAGAAATTTGGCGCCAGATTTCGTGTAGATCTAAAGTGAAACAATACAGATGTCCGTTAAGATCATGATACATGTCTCAAGATTCTGTCGTCACGAAAATGACTTCTAGAAATCATTTTTTGGCTGGGCGGAACCGTTGGTATAATACTGCGATTGAGTTCCTGGGGAATTAAATCTTGTCAACCAGATAACTCGGCTGGATGGATTGCTTTCATACTTGGTGCGTTGGTAGGGTGTTACAAAAGCTGGAAATGATGATGTTTTCAGCCCCCAGCAGCTTTCCTTGGTACTGCAGCGGAACACAAACATCACTCACATAAAAGAGAATAACGTTGCCGAGGTGTGTTTTAAACGCCACCTTATTATGCATTTTATGATAATCGCAGGTGTACGGGCACGACAAGTTCACGTTCACCAACACGGCTATCGCTGACCCAATCGTGGACGTGAACGGCGTGGTGCGAGGCCAGCCGTTCAGCCGATCCTTCACGTGTACTCTCGTAAGCGTGTTCGACGTGACGTTCACAGACGGCGAGATTCTGTACGTGGTCCCGGATTCTATGTGAGTTCCACTGACTGTACTGATCTCTTTCAGTCTTTGTTTCACTTCATTCTGCGCGTGTGATGTGTTGTAATTAGTGCTGCGTACCTTTTCGTAACATCAGGTACAGGTACAGGTACAGGTACAGAGGTTTAGGTCCAGGTCCGGACCTGTACCTGTACCTGTACCTGAAAATTGACGCGCGTCACATGTTCTACTGAAATTCTTCGATAATGACAAAAACATGAATAAAGTGTTGACAATTTGTCCTGTATCTTTCAAAGAACATTAAATATAACCATGGATGATATAACTAGGTTTCGAATTCCTATCTCACTTCTCACTAGTTCTCAGAGACGGAAACTAAGGTAAATCTCTTTATTTTAACACTGGATGTTCATTTTCCTGGCAGGCCTTCTTGTGTGTAGTGATCAAGTATGATTTTTTGTTCCGGTCCAAAAAACCGGTCCACCAACGTTTCGCTTTTTTCGAACCGGACCGATACTATTTTTCCGGTCCGTACCGGCCCACCTGAACCGGTACGCAACCCTAGTTGTAATCCCTGTCAAAGAGAAACCCGACTCCTCAAGGATTTTACTAACATTGGACAACCAGCATGGTATCTTATTTCTATGTAACTCTTGTTGTACTAGAAAGGCTTCGTATTGTAGGCTATTTGTTGGTACACCTTTAAGTAATCTTGTGTAACATGAGTACATTCTAAAATATACTTCGATCCACAGAGGATACCTGTCAAGTTCTGCCCTTGTTACGATGTTGCTAGCATTCTTCCTTACCCCTAATATTGATTTACAAAATTTAAGATGCACTTGTTCAAAAGGTGACTTCTCATTTAATCCAGTCTTGCCCCCCCAAAAAAACCAATACAACTTCCCAGGCCTTGTAATGTTATAACGGGTTATGTGGCTTGATCGCATATGACGATGCAAAAGTGCGAATTCTTTTAACGGTCCAAAGAGAAACTGAAACTACCAATACCACTGGTCTGTTCGGCTGCTGAGGTCACATTTCCAGACCGGGGCCCGGGCGGGCTGTTTCGATGAACAAAAAATCAATAATTTATATCAATGATATATGCAGCTAGTTGCCATTATCAATTTTTAAAACTTTTTTGTGCTTTGTTGTCTTTTATATCATATTTTTCGTTCCATAAGACTGCCCGTTCGGGCCCCGGTTTGGCAATGTGACCTCAGCATTAGATACAGTTTACTGGAGTTATATGTGTTAGAATAGATAACTTTCAGCTACAGTGATGGCCAGATCAGATCAGTTACCATTGTTTCTTACTCTAGAATGCTTACACTAACGATATTTCTTCTTTGTTCCATACTCCTGTTTTATGGTGATGTCATAACAAGTGAGATTATCCAGCCTGAAACTAGATTCTTGGAGACAGTGGATGGCCTGGCAGTCTACCCGCCTTTGTACGCAAACAACCTTCTTAATTCTGTACCCATCAAGTAAACAAGCAAACAAACAAACAATAACAAATTCAATTCTTTGTATAATCAATAATAATTAATAACCTTTATTGTACATTCATGCCCTATCGGGCTAAGTACAGGTGAACAGATGAAATAGGTAATATACATGTTTGTATTACAAACAGCTCTAAAACTACTCTAATACAGAGGTTCGGCTTCTTCTCGTTTCTTTGTGATGTTAAAAATATAATTTGAGAACCAATAGTTTGTACTTATGAACCTGCTTTTCGAATTCGGACAACTCTCCAGTGTCAATGGCAAAAGATAGTGGATGCTACCTGAAACGTCTGGCCGTTTTCACATGGATGTGTAAACTTCACCGAAGCAAAATGAAATACATTTCAGTCTTCTTAGTTTCACCATCAAGTTGTCTCTAACAGTATTTCTTATTCTTATTTGATATTATATTGCTTTTTTCTGAATTCCACAAGTTTTCATTTGTACATTGATTTGATCTGGCCATTTAGGATAGAAAGTATCTGACGATGCTCGTTTCCTCTGTTGAAAAGGTTTGCGATCGATGTGGAGGACGCCAACAGCACGTTTGTGTTTGACATGCATCTGTACACGTCACAAGACTTTGTGCACAGCTATGAGCCCCTGGATTACCCCTTACAGGTCAGTGAAGCCCAGAAGTTCAGTATACTTGATTACTTCTTCTTAAATACAATACGGCATGGCCTTTACCAATTTATATTGTCTCCCATTTATGGTTAATTCCTTCTGTGACAAGTTCTGTGCAAGTTCTTGAAGCTTAGGCCACACCGACTTAATTTTATGGATGACATCCTCTGAAGACCCCCAAACTAGTGCGCGCGGATGAATTGCATTTTTATTTTTGGCCGGAATTTTTTTTTATTCGCCCGCGCGCACTAGTTTGGGGGTCTTCAGAGGATGTCATCCATAAAATAAAGTCGGTGTCGCCTTATAGACGCTTTCATGGAAATTACGACGTATTCGTCCATCTCCAGGTTCTGCCGTCTGATCGGCTGTACTTCGGACTGTCCTCCCGGACCGCGTTGTCAAACATGGAGCTGTTCGCACTGGACTGTCTGGCAACACCAACCGTAGACATGAGCGCCGAGCCCAAGGTTTATATCATTCGAAACGGGTACGTATATATCCAAACTCTAATCTCCAAACAGGTCTTTCGGTGGCTACAAATAGCCTCTACCAGGCTTCGGGAGGCGGCTGGACGCGGCAAAATGTTCTCTTCCAGCAGACAAACTCCCCTGGCATGTTATCTCTCTATTTGCCCGATTTCTACTCTTTCCAGCCGCCTCCCGAAGCCTGGTAGAGGCTAGCTACAAAGACAGCTCATCAAATTTGCCAGGCTGTGTCCATGTTAGGCTGACGTCATAACGTAAAAAAATATACCAGTACAAAAAAAGAAAGACCGACAAAAACGCCTAAAACCACGCCAAAATAAGCCAACTCAAAATCAGCCAACGCATCTTTAACCTCTGCTTGGAGCGTATGCAAACTCCACTCTACGTAGCTACCGTACCGAATAGTTTATACACACAAACGCACGCACGCACCCGCCACACACACACATACTCACAAACATACACACACACACACACAGACACACAGACACACAGACACACAGACACACAGACTACATGTACACACAAAAAAGCACAGACACACACACATACATGTACACACACATACATGTACACACACATACACACAAACATACACACACAGAAACACACACACACACACACATACATGTACACACACAAAAAAAACAGACACACACACATACATGTACACACACACACACACACACAAAACACACACACATACACGAAACACACACAAAGCATGCCGTTCAACCTCCCCTTTATCCATTCTTTTTTATTTGTTATTGTTTTATACAGTTGCAAAATCGACCCGACGCTGAAAATTCACAGTGATCCGAGTGACCCGATGACCTTGCAGTTCTCTATCATGTCCTTCACTTTCCCGAACTCCACCGACAACGTGGTGAGTTTTCTTTTACACACACCACTCTCAGGCAGAAACGTCTGTGTGATACTATATAATCCAAATACAATTCACCAATTTCACACTTCCCATAATGCCTAGTAAAGATCACGGATATGACGTATGACCACCCCCCTCCCCCTTCCTCGATGTAATATTTCCAACAAGTTCTATCGACAAACTGGTCAACTATATTGTTTTGAATTATTTAATAATAATATCTAGTATAAAGCGCATGCCATGATTGCATTTTTGTTGGAATTAGAGAAAATGACGTACCTTCTGTCGTTCTACCTTCTACCGAAGACTGTCCTACTCGCTCGGTCGCATTACGTATATCTGCTTCATACGTCATATCCCATCCATATCCGTGATCTTTACTAGGCATTATGGGAAGTGTGAAATTGGTGAATAGCACTGTGTCTACTCAAGGAGGTTCTTGGTCTACTCAAAACCACACCAATTTAATTTGTTGTTTCTCTGATTTTTTCAGAAAAAATATGAAGCGACAGGGCGAAATAGAAAAATTAAAAAAAAAAAGGCCAAGGCACCCTATGATAGCCGGAAATGTATACGATATGGGCCATAAAGTCAACATACCAGGCTGGTTTATGACTATAATATAAAACAATAGATTTAGAACTTTTAATAAAACGAAGTTGCATTGTAACATTGAAACACTTTGAAAACTGGGAAGAAAAGGATTTTCTTTAACCATTGGGGCCAATACATGTGTTCATTGAGCATTTTGCAGTTGATTTAGAACCTAATTTTTCTTTTTTGCAAATCAGAAAAAAAGAAAGAATGGACAAGGCGAATCCGAGAAACTACGAATTAAATTGATGTGGCCAAATTTCAATTCCAATTTTGCCGCCTTGAAACTGCAATGGATACCTTTAAGCTCTGTCAAAAATGTGCTCTTATTGCTTGTTCCTTTCCCAGGTGTACCTGCATTGTAGCATGATGCTCTGCATGATCGACGACAGGAATTCTCGTTGTGCGCAAGGATGTATACAAGAACAACCTGACCAGCGGCGCAGGCGCAGAGGAGCCTCCTGGCAGAACCCGGATGTTGGCACGTGTGAGAGTTGTCATCAGCATCAGACGGCGTCCATCAGCCAAGGACCACTCATACTTCTCCCAGGATACACCGCGAAAGGTCTTTCCAGACGCTTAAGCCCTGTTCAGACGAAAGCGGTGAAAGCGCATTGCATGTGGATTCCACCGAGGCAGGATTCTAGTGGCCCCATCATGCTAAAAGCTCTAAATCGCATTGAAAGTGCCTCGATCCCAAATAAACCACCTCGGGAGGTAGTTTCGAACCGGCTTCAACGCATTCAGTCTGAACGCAATGTGTCTTCACTGGTTTACTTTACATATTGACCCGGTCATGGATTACGGGGTGATATTTCAGCAATGATTGTAGTTTAGCCAAATCGTGCTTGGACACGATTCCGAAGGACCAGATGTGAGGAATGTGATTTACCCGAATCACGATTCTACCGGTTTCGTCTGAATAGGGCTTTAGTGATCCTGCCTGATTTATTGATATCATGAAATCTTAGAAAAAAATTGTTCTTTGGAGATAAATTCTGTTTGCATTTAAACTACTGCCCTGTGAATTCAAATAGGACCTGTTGTACAACTTTTCCTCACAGATGTATATTTCATGATAACTTGGAATAACGATGATTATGTTGATATTATCATATAGTCAGAAGACGTCGACCAATCAGAAGGCTCCATTTAAATATTCCCATTGGTTATCAGGCCGTAACCTCAAAAGTGGTCGGTTACTAGAATAACCGACCACTTTTTGGCCCGTCGCTACGCTCACTCGGTGGTTTATTCGGTAGTTATCGTACCTGACCAGGGATTGTTTCACCATGCACACCTCGGGGCAGCTGGGCAGTAACATTTTATTATCTCCTCCCTACAGAAAGGACCGCTCTCGCCATGCCTATCTCCCTGGGTGTTGTGGCTGGAATCGCAGCCGTTCTACTGGTGGCGGTTGTAGCGCTGACAGTCCAGTACCGCCGTGCCCTCGCTGCACGATAGGTAAGACGGTACCCTGGATGCCAAAACTAGTATCGGGCCGTTAGCCGTTTTCCTTCGGCAGCCAAGAGCCCTTCGCCTTAAATTACCGCTACGGGGGAGTTGAGCCCGAGGGGTTTGTCCGGCCCTAGAACTAGCCAAACTCCCCCCCGGGCTAGACTCCCCCGTAGCGGTAATTTACACCAGCGGGCGAAGGACTCTTGCGGCCCGGAAAACGAGTTCTGGCTTCCAGGGTAGTAAGACGGTAGATTTCTTACCTGTCAAAATCAAGGCGCTTTCATTAAAAAATACAGCACGTCGGCAGAACGTACTGCATGCGCCGTACAAACCCTAGTTTTTTCACCGTTTTCGTTGGATGTTCGGTCAACATTGCATCAGAATTTTTCCTCACTTCGCTCAGGTGAAAATGAGTATTGTATTGTCCCCTGTGTTGGTGGCAGCATTAATATAAGTTTGTAAGTTTGAAAAACTTGAGTGTGCCGTCACCACGTCTTGTGATTACATGTTGGAAACTATTTTTAAAAAATAATTTTTCCCGTTCCAGACGATATCTTTTCCGACACAACATTTGGAAACTACAATCGCGATGTCCACCTAAAAAAACGAATACGACCTTATATTAGACGTTCTGCCGAAGTGCTATGCACAATACACTGTGGATTTCGTGGTGCAATATACTATGTGTATTCAAACGACCGATGATGACGTAATAATCGTCAGCTATATTGGCGGTTGATACGTTACTGGATTATCAATTATCACACAGTGATGCAGAAAGAGAATAATTCTACACATCAAGTTATAATCATTAAAGGGGCATTATGCAACATTTTTGCACCAAAAATTGAAATATTCTATTTAAAGAAATATTCGTGTAATGGTAATTTGCTCTCACTTTTCAACATATTTGTGCAACCAATCTTACGTTTCTGACATTTATGGTTGGCACTAAAAACATATTCCACATAAGGCGCGCTAAGTTTGTGGTACCACCACAAACTACCAAAATGTAAACAAACATGGCTGACAGCTGTGTTTCAAACCTTTAAACACACTCGTAAGGCATCTACACTTCCTAAATGGCACGTATTTGCAATGGAGTAGGGTTGATCCAAATTAGTATGTAAAGAAATGACGAGAAAATTTACTATTGTTATCGCCGTAAAGTTACATAATGCAGCTTTAACAGTATGTACTTTGTTCTTGTATACTAGGTCACTAGTACTGCAGTTAGCAGTCAAGGAGGAAGGTCTAAGCTAACGCTGAATGGCTTAAACTTCGTGGGAAAGGAAGACTGTTGAATCACACGTACCCTGGGTGCCAAACTAGTATCGGGCCGTTAGCCGTTTTCCTTCGGCAGCCAAGAGCGCCGAAGGAAAACGGCTAACGGCCCGATACTAGTTTGGCACCCAAGGTAAATCACACGATACTTTCTTATAAAACTCGATAGAATCGTACTGCAATGTTTACACTTATCAATCACTAATCATCATACTAAATTCTAATGCATATAACTTTCTATATACTGCTACTTAGAATCGTATTCCCTTATGTACAGTTGTAAAGATACAAATGATATATGTAATATTTATTATTGAATTTCAATCTCTTTGAACTTTTGAGCCTATACTGACTATATGCAGCTAGAAGAATATCGATATGCTTATGGCAATGGTGATTCCCATAGTATACACATATAGACACATATAAGCAAATTTGTATAGAATCTTCCATTTTGTATAGGGGTACTTTAGTCATTAAAATATTGAATCACTAGCACCTCCTTCGGGCTCGTGGTCTTTATTACCTTCGCCTTCGAAGCTTCGCCTATTATTAAAACGCCTGGATGGATTGTCTTGATATTTGTCAGGCGGGTAGGTCTTGGTGAGACCTGGAACTGATTATAGATTTTGGCCCCCTGGCGGCTTGTCATGGTACTGCAGCAGAACTTCCGGTTTTGATGTCTCATGATCCAGGCATGCTATGGTCACAAAATTTACATGGTAGATAGCTCTTGTGTTGGAGATGAAGTGACATGAGTTTGAGCCCACTAGCTGCTTGCTCTGAAACTGCAGGGGCGTTTGTTGAAAAATGTTTAAAGGAGGATACTTCGGGGGATTAATGTATACTTTCTTAGTCATAAGAAAGTCATTTGGCGAAGGTATGAGATCTTGGAACTCTAGTTGTAGGTTGTGACTGACTTGGTGATTAAGATCGTTTTTACACAGGTTTTCAAAACAGCCCTGCTTTAATGTTAGTATTAGAAATGTGAAACTGATAATCTATTTACGAAAACAACTTCAATCATTCTAAAACAGGTTAGAGATTTGAAAATCCTTCGCCTATAAGCTTGTAGCCTTGTATCTAAATTTTCTATTTTTAGGAAAATATAATTTTGCAGTATGACGGGGGTCAGAATCATCTGCACCTGTCAGTGGGGACCCCTAGCGATTCAAATTTTTGTTGCCCTTGCATACGGGGTTTCTTGCAATGATAACTTTAGCCGTTTGGTGACGCTTTTTCTAGTCCGTCTGTAGGATGTACTTAAATTCTTGTGGAAGTAATCAGGAAAACCCGTAGTAAGCGCTACATAACAACAAAGAAACCTTTCTTTGGGGAACTTCGAGAGTGAAAGACGGGAATGCCATGAAAGTGAAAGATATTGGCCAGCAAAAGCGGAATAAGTGCAAGGAAAAGCAAAAATACGAATAAGAAATGATGATGTTTCATGCCCGTAGCCAGGGAGTCCACTTCTTGGTCCACTTTTCAGCTAAAGGTCCAAGATTTCTCTTAAGATGGACTGATACGTATCACCAGCAGGCTTGGAACGTATAAAAACTGCCTACTTTGTCATTGAATAAGAAGTTATCTCTGTTTTTTTCTTTGAAATCCTCTCAAAAACGCAGGAAATGCCATTTCAGAAGGTTCATTTTTTTTTACAATTTTCCGGGGGACCCCCCTAGGAACCTCGCGCCTACGGCGATCGCTGGTCCCCTCAAGCAGTGGGAAGAACCCCCCCATTCAAAATCCTGGCTACGGCCATGTGTTTACGAGTATGAAAGGCATAACGTCATAACCTACGATAACCCCGGCACTTGGCCTCCAGCATGTTGACCTTTGTCTCCTCGGCAAACAGCGCGGGAAGTCAGGAATTGTTCGGCTGACGGGCAGTTTTTATTGTGTGGGCCGTTAGGGGCACATGTACAGCCGCCATGGACGTCCAGATGGTGTCGGTGCGATTTCTTCCCGCAGTGGTTTTGTTTTGTACTCAGCTTTGCTTCGCCGTTACGGAGGAAGGTAAGAGGCACTTCTTATGCTGTTCTTGTATATAAAACGGATCCATTTTAATAGTACAATATGTGCGGAAGCTTGTTCTGTGAGTCACCATTTTCACTTTGCCTTTGTTTGCTCAATGGTGGGTATATAGTAGATTTATTCATCAGTAAAAAAACTCGTAGCGCCATGGCGTTATTTCTACATAGTCTCTAGCAGACTAACTACGCTGGCTATATATAGGACAATATTTGCCAGGGGAGTTTGGCCGCCTTGGGGTTTGACTGGCCGCTTCGGAGGGAAAGAACCAACCTTCCACGGCCGGACTCCCCTGGCCAATTTTACTCTCCTTTTTGTCGAATTCTACGATCCGTATTCCTGTAGAAAGGCCTGGTGGAGGCTAATTTCTACAGCTTTACATGTGTTCTGACTGCCTGTTATGGTTCTAACTGGGCTGGTGTGTCCAAATCTCTGAGCGGAAGGCATCAGGAAATCTGTTGTTTATCACAGTGGACATTTCCTCAAGGTGCAACCTGTCCTACTACCGAACTCTAGCCCCACGTACCGACGATTGTACGTTTGCAACAACCATAAACTTCCTATTTTTCTCTCACCGTTAAAATTACATCAAGCCTGAACGAAGGCAAATGTTGCTTGATGTGACTTTGTAACGCCTGGCTGTGCGGTTAGCCCTAGTGGTGAAAAGCATACACCAGTGGTTATAGGTTACGTATTTGCAACAATATTTACCTAATGTCTGAACGGGGGCACTCGAGTCAAAACATAAAAACAGCACTGACTGTTATATACCCACTTATTTACTTCTCCTTTCCGTCCCTAGTGGGACATATGTGTGTAATACAGTATACCCTCTTAGTTGAAACCATCTCTCAGTATACGGTCATTTCTGGAACAAGATGACACAAAGAATTACTAAAATCTATTTGGGTAACAATTGGACCATTATTGGTGTTTTTTCTGAGCCAGCCCAATAATTTATAACATAACAGCATGTGCGAAAAGTGTATGTAGGAACCGTCTGTTTAAAGCGACCGTTTTGTCCATGTCTGTGCGGTTTCCTGCTAAGCCTATCACGTACCAGCCATAGCCCCGAACTCAGCGGATGTCTCCAGGCACTGTTAGGCCACACGGACTTAATCATTAAGGGGAATCATATGGATGACATCCTACGAAGACCCCCAAACTAGTGCGCGCGGGGGAATAAAAAAAATTCCGGCCAAAAATATAAATGCTTCTTAACCACAGGAATACAAAGCTGGTATTGTTAATTTGCGGCAGTACACAGCGACGTATACGACAAGCCGGCACATGCTGGCTTTTTGCGCCATTTATGAATCGGCACTGTACGTATGTACTGAGTTCTTGATTCGTGGAGCGTCGGTAGCCTGGGTGCCAGGCTCCGTATTGTCGCTAACCACCATGGACTACCCAGACCTAGAGCCAGGCCAGAGCCTCGGTGGACGTGATCTTTTTTTTTTTTTGAGAAGAGGCGAAAATCAATGCGCGCGCGGATGTCATCCATAAAATTAAGTCGATGTGACCTTATTGAATTTAGACGGGCAAATGTAGTCATGGTTTGGGGTGTAGTTGTCAGAATCATCATAGTATTTGTCAAAATATTTGACAAAACTAAACAGATGGAGCGAGGAGAGAGCATGCACTGCTATTATTCATTTATAGGGGTTGGATGTTGTATACATACATAATAGATACAGTACTTTACATCGTTTCTCTTGATTGATTATGTCATAACAAGAAATGGCATTTACCCTTGGTTAAAGTAGAGTTTACATTTGTCAGTTAAGGAATTATTAACAAAGCAAAGTAACTAATTAATGAAGTTTCTTAGCTTTAACTTTTTTCGTTTGTTAGGCTAACCGCGTGAAATAGTATTATGGACGTTTATGAAACAATTCATAGTTGTTGTTTTTTATTTGTTTGTTTATTTATTAAACAATTCATAGTTGTTGTTTTTTATTTGCACATGCATATAAAAACAATACAGAACGTAAATATATCACTTGTGGCTTCTGTCTTTGCAGCATGCATTTCTCCACTTGGGATGGAATCAGGTGACATATCACGTGATCAAATCACGGCTTCGTCCAGAGACTGCGCCAACGACTGCGGGATGACGTCATTTGGTCGTCTCCATGGCAACGACTCGTGGTACCCTGACAAGTTCGCAACCACTGAGTGGATACAGATAGACTTGCTTGAGGTGAAAAGCGTCACGGGAATTCAGACACAAGGTCACCAGAGGTCAAATACGACCTACTTTGTGAGTTCCTTCAAACTCCAGTCTTCGAACAAGGCGACTGATGATTGGACGACGTATGGAAACTCCACGTACCCAAAAGAGGACGCTGTGAGTAACTTGAACTTCCCGCCACTTTTGATGATGTTGTCCTTTCATAGTACTATGCAGTTTTTGGCTTCAGGGCCTGGAAACCAGATTTTTCAGTCACTTATGTACATACTACAGTACTTTGAAACAACACTGTCCCAATGGAGCAAAAATGCCCCAAATTCTGACGATAAACAGTTACTGGAAGGACCTGAGTTGATTTTAAGGGTACCACCCAGAAAATAAATGACTAATCTTAGGGCTTGCTTGTTTTGAATGCCTTAAGTATGAAATTCTGATTTAAATGTGCTAATGTGAAGCAGTATGTGTTAATATCATACAGATTGCCTTATTCAGAGTATTTCCAGTTTTGCCACCCTGAAGTTGCATTGGATGCCTTTAAGCCATTTTAAAATTAAAACGTGAATGTTAACCATTTGTTCCTCAGATATTTGACGGTAACAGGGATGCAGACACGGTCAAAGAAAACCTGTTGGATCCACCCATACTGGCCAGGTACATCCGGGTCCTTCCCTGGACCTGGTCTCCTAACGGCGTTTCTCTCCGACTGGAGCTCCTGGGGTGTGAACAAGGTGGGAAATTCGATTTTAGGCCACACCAATTTAAATTTTTGGTTAACGGATTTTTCTAGAAAAATAATGGAGCGGGCGAGCGTAAAAAAAATGAAAATAAAAACAGGCCTGGGCATCCTATTATGGCCCAAAATGGTACGATAGGAGCCATGAAGCCAACACACCAGGCTGGTTCAAAATTTAACCAATGAATTTTGAACTTTTATTGATACCACTGCATTGAAAGATGGAATAACTGTGACAACTAGGAAGAAAAGGACTGTTTTCAACTGTTAAGGGCCAAATATGAGCATTTTGCAGTCGATTCTTATCAAGTTATTTTTCATACTTGAATAAATGGTGGTATATTTATGGTTATTGGTTCAACAATGGAGATTGAAAACAATTGAGGGAAAGTTTTGATCATAAACAAATAAAAAAGAGCTTTAAAATTTAATAGTACCATTAACACTGTTCCTTCTTAATTTAGACAATGACTATGAAACTACTAACAATGAGAACGTTATCGTTGTCTTAGAACATACAATTACCACAACGACGACGGAAGCGACTCAAACCGTTGCCATAGCAACAAACGTGGGGACACACCCTCACAGGACCACCAACACTGAAGTTCCTGTGACGACCAACACGACTGGTCAGAGCACAAATCAAACGTCCGCACAAACCGAGCGCCCGGGTTTGACGCGAACTTCTTTCCCAATAGGTACGTTCAAAGGCAGTACAATGGTATTGTAGATAGGGTTGTTATAGCCTGACTAAATCTGCGCTCCTAGCGGCCGGCCCGGTATTACACGGGGCGGCTGGTGTAATACCGGGCCGGCCGCTAGGAGCGCAAATTTAGTCAGGCTAGGGTTGTTTTGTTTCCCGAAGGAAAACATATTGTTTTTACTCAGTTTCTTCCTCCTCCTCTTCTAGTTCCAAACACTAACTTCTGACCTGGCCAATGACATGATTTGTCGACGTCTGTCACCATGGTGACTGGTGTTGGCTTACATAATGTTGCAGTTTCATGGTCTGCTCTACTCCTGGCACCATATACTCGTAGTACATGTATGTGAATGTGTTTGCGTAAGAATTAACAGGGCAGACCATGTCCGAAGGTAAATATTATGCATTTGCTTTGCAAATGTTACTTCTCTAGTTGACTCAGAAATAGAATCTAAAGGTTCTGGGTTCGAGTCCCTGGCAGGCCGTACAATTGTGATATCTGTTCTATGTCTTACTTGAGGTTATGGAGCATGTTATGTATGTTTTATGGAGACATTTGCTGATGACATTTTCGCATCATAGAATGAAGTGCAATTTAATATCTTTTGATTGATTGAAACATTTCAAAGAAAGAATGTATTCGTAAATGCCATGTATCATGTCTTTGTTAACTTGGGGATAATGCCAACAGTTTAGTTTTTATCACGAAGGGTTTCTTCAGTGTAGTGAAGACTGTAAAAATGAAAATTATTCAGTCTTCAAAAGCATTACTATCTTTTCTCGTCTATGCCTTACTTGAAGTTATGTGTCATGTTATGCATGTTTTATAGAGACATTTGCTATAACCCGTTGAAATACACATGGTCTGCTACTTGTCTATTGAACTAATCTCCAAGCAGATCTTTCGGTGGCAAGACAGTATCCATTGGCCAGAGGAGTGTCCATTAGCCTTCGGTGGCTAATGGATACTCCTCTGGCCAATGGATACTGTCTTGCCACCGAAAGATCTGCTTGGAGATTACTATTGAACCATTGAAATGTCTTACTAGGTTATCTCATTTTTTTTATTGTTCACACATGTACATTTCAAATAAAAAATATAAGGACAATGTAGAGACCTAGATGTTAGCATTCTGATCTTCCGTCCCAACATTGACCTGTGCTTTGGTCTGTATGGTAACAGATGCAGTCATAGGAGGCACGGTAGGGGGCGTTCTTGGTCTGATTCTGCTAGTAGCTGTCGCTGTCGCCGTTGCCAAAAAAAGGTAAGTACACTGTACACGATATTGGTTATTTCCAAGCGTTCCGTCTCTATCTCTCTGTCTTTTTATCTATCTATCTATCTATCTATCTACCTATCTATCTATCTATCTATCTATCTATCTATCTATCTATCTATCTATCTATCTCTGTGTGTATATGTCTCTTTATCTCTCTCCCCTCTCTCCCTCTCTCTTTCTCTTTATCGCTCCCTCCCCCTCTAGCCCCCTCTCTCTCTGTATATCTCTCTTTATCTCTCTTTCTATCGCTCTCTCCCCCCTCTAGCTCCCCCTCATTCCCTCTCTGGATCTCTTTACTTCTCTCTCTCTCTCTTCCTCTCTCTCTCTCTCTCTGTATCTCTCTCTGTCTCTCACCCTCTGTCTCTCTTACTCGCTCTCTCTCTCTCTCCCTCTCTCTCTGAAGCTATCACATGTAATGAATTGCTATTGGTATTACATAGCTGATCCATAGACTCTATGATATCATTTCCTCTTTACGTAAGCTTTCTATCCCCCCCTAGAGTGGCCTCCCGGGACAGTTACCCCGTCTTCACCAACCCCATCTACAACAAAACCACCCGGCCGTTAGACAGCAACAGGAACCAGCCTCGGGCTACGCCGGGGTCACTTGAGGAGATGGAGGAATTTGTCGTGAACCAAACATACAGGGGTCCACGGTGAGTTGGACAGTATTTTGGTGACGCCTCAGGAGCGGAGCCGATTTCTTATACGCATTTGATGTTGTTATGAAATAAAGACAAAGCTTTAACTTCCAACACTTAGATTACAAAATTGGGACTTACCCCAAATTTTCGGTTGACTCCATCAACCTTGTTCACGGAATTGACCAGTCTACTCTTGGAACGTGACGTCAGAGACACGTGACCGTAGTAGCGGGTTATACGTGCCAGATAACTTGTGTCGCCCCCCGTCTCTGTTCAGGGTAGGTGTGCAATTCTGTAATCTAAGTGTTGGAAGTTAAAGCTTAGTCTTTATTTCATAATGACTTGTACCAACACAGACTAGTGAACTTTCATGCATTTGATGTTGTATTTTGCCACAACACATAAGGTAACAGTTCTCCATCAAAGTAGGACTGTTTCCGCAAACTTATGATGAGCACCTCTCGTACAATGCTGGAAGAAGGAAGTTGAGCCTAACCTAGTTTGCAGGTGTTGCCGGTACGGGCCAAGTTTTCTGATCGCACGCACGTGGTTCTCTGGCCCCCAGACAATGCCAGATGTATCCAATCAGAAAAAAATGCAAATTAGAAGATTGCAAATGGGCCCCTAT